GTTCCTTCGCGGCTGTTCGAATCGAGGCCGACCTCCGGCAAACTCATGGCGGAAGTTGAGGAGAATAAGCCAAGTGTCTCTGTCGAGGAGTCAGCATCGCAGCCAAAACTGGAATTTGGAAAGCGCAGAGCAGCGGAAAATGTTGTCAGGGAGTCGAGTCCCGCCAGGCCGAGGGCTATATTAGAATCAGACTCCAATCCAAAATCCAAACCAGCTGTGGCCAGCAAGTCGGCGGAGCTGAGAAAAGTATCCAACCCTGGGATGGCCGCCCATATTCCGGACGAACCCGCTCCCGTCGAGTCCGATAAATCTGCGGAGTTGAAAAAGGCTTCAAACCCTGCATTGCCACCAAAACGTGCTAATCAGCCGCCTCAAGCAAAGCCTTCTACGCCGAAGAAGTTCGAAGTATTGGCCGATCGTGCACAAGTTGTATCGCCTCCTCCCCAATTCGAGAATCTAAGGAAGAGCGCACCTCTTTCGCCTCCACTCGCGGTCAACTCACCTCTCACACCTAATAAATTCAAGATCAACACGCCCAAGGAACCAAAGCCGGAAGTGGATAATTCTGTCAAGCCGTCCTCACTGGCTTCTTCTAGAGCTACCGGGCTTGGATTACAGTTCTCGTCTGCTTCCAAAAAGCCAGCGGCTACACCCGAGTTGACACCACCACCAGAACCGGAAGCTTCAACGAGAAAATTGGCGTCCTTCAGATGTCCTGCGTCACCCACGAAGTCTGGTCGCTTGCTGAAGGCCCAATTTGAACGCTTCTTTGGTGTCTTACCGCAAGCCAGAGAAAAGGCGGAATTTGACACCCAGGCATTCTTGTCGTCTCAGAAGAATACCTCCGGCAAGCCCAAGACTCTCGGCAAACAGATATGGGAAGTGTCCGGCGACGGAAAGAGAACAGCCATGCCTCCCCAACAAGAACACATACTCTTCGAAGACTGTATGTATCTGTGTGTGCATTCAATGGAATCACCTAGCGGCTCAAAATGTGCCGAAGTATATCTCTGGTGTGGTGACGAGGTGCCCGAAGCTGCGGTAGAGGATGCTCAACTGTTCTGCAGAAAGATTGCTCGCGATAACAACGCCAAGCTTGAGGTGGTAAAGCAAGGTAAAGAGAGTTCCGAGTTCTTCCAAGCGCTTGGAGGGATTGTCATAGTTCGGAAGAGTAAGTCAGCAGCCTTGTATATGCTGTGTGGCAGACGACACCTTGGTCATGTGGCTTTTGACGAGGTCGAGCTATCTGCCGATAACCTCTCTTCTGGACTCCCCTTTTTGATATCTGCGAAGTTTGGGAAGCTCTATCTCTGGAAGGGAAATGACAGCAACCCAGAAGATGTGGGATGTGCGAGATTGATTGGGATGGACATGGGGCTCACCGGTGAGATTGAAGAAGTCTCAGAAGGAAAAGAGCCCGCCAGCTTCTGGGAAGCCTTCCCCTCGCGTCCGAGCAAGCGAGTGGCTCCTCGAACACGCAAACAGACGAGTCTATTCCACGGTCATGCACCCAGATTATACCGTGTCGAACACGATCGCCCCAAATCGTCTGGCGGTTTCTGGGGCTTGAGGGCCGCATCACCCCCGAAACAAGCGGTCAGAGCCTTGGTAGACGAGATTGCCCCCTTCAACCAGAAAGACCTCGATGCCAACCATATCCACATTCTAGACACCTATGGGGAGCTCTACGTGTAAGTTCAGCTGTATTTTTGCGCCGCCGGGTTGAAAGTCATGCTGACGTCTATTGTGTTTGTTAGCCTCGTCGGTGCGTCTGCCAAAAAACCTGCCGAGTTTGTGACGGCGGTACAGGTCGCTCAGGAGATTGCGGTTCTATCTCCCTCGGTTCAAGACAGACCGCTGTTGCCTGCATGTTACGTGGTGATGGGTGACCCACCTGAAAACATCAAATCAGTCTTCCGAAAATGGAGGTCTGAAAGATCAGCTTCTCCAGACGACCAACTGTGTGTACGGGTTGAAGAAGTGATACAGGAATTAGGGATCACGCTGTGAAAGGGATGACGGTGGACTGATGATCGGGATTTGTGGAGGCATTTTGCAGACGATCACTCGGACGAATATGGTTTGGGCTCATGGGCGTGCATGTGTATTTGGCCATTTGGACGATGGAGGGGCTCCAGCAAACCTTGGCCAAGGTGTCACAAAAGGAAGGAGGGGTGGGCCAGTTTCAATCTGGAAGAATATGTGCTTTGATACACCAATTTAGGGATATTGAACTGCCCGTATGAGTGTATGAGTCGCATCAGTTGTACAACTGAAGCCATTGTCGTCAGTTGTCGGCCAATCGGAGCGTGCTTAGGTAACCGCGCTCGTCATCAGCACCATCGGGGTCTGGATCATTCCGAGGCTCCTTGGCACCATTTCTTTCCTTCTGCCCGCCTCAGTCAAATCAACCTCGGATGCAGGTATCAGTCAGTACCTGGTCAGCTTGTCCCTGACTGCTCAGAAGTCTTCGTGTCGCCTTGTGCTGACAGTCATGGATTGGGCGGCATCGAATCTCCCTCAGACGAAACCCAACACCTCTGTCCTCTCCCAGGGTCCCACCGCCACTCTGAACCTGGACCCCAAACTGCAGCGAGAGTTGTCTCGGCTCGATGACTCGATCCCCTTCAACCCCAGAGCCCGTTATCTCCATCACACCTGGGCGCAGACGTTCTTCTCGCGCCCGGAGCTGTATTTTCAGCCCGCGACAATCCCCGAGCTGCAAAAAGTCGTCACCTTAGCGCGACGATGTCGAAGACGGGTTTGCGTGACGGGGTTCGGACATTCGCCGTCCGACCTGACATGCACCTCGTCTTGGCTGGTCAACCTCGACAAGCTCAATCAAGTCTTGGAGAAGGACGTCGACGGGACTCCTGGCCTCTATCGCATCCAGGCCGGCATATCCCTGCATGATCTGAACGTGGAGTTGGCCAAGCACGGTTATACCCTGCCCAATCTGGGATCCATCGACGTCCAGTCGGTCGCGGGGGTCATCTCGACCGGCACGCACGGCTCGAGTCTCAAGCACGGCCTGATCTCCGAGTCGATAACTTCGCTGACGATCCTTCTCTCCAATTCGCAGCTCGTCACGTGTTCGGCCGCCAAAAACCCTGAACTCTTCCGGGCCGGCCTCCTCTCGCTGGGCGCGCTGGGCATCATCGTCGAGATCACGATCCAGGCCGTGCCGGACTTCAAAATCTCCTGGTCCCAGTCCCTCCACACCCTGAGCTCCGTTCTGGACTCGTGGAACTCTGACCTCTGGACCAAGGACGAATTCACCCGGGTGTGGTGGCTGCCTTACCTCCAACGCGCCGTGATCTGGCGCGGCTCGCGGACTGACGCCCCGACTCGTCCTCCAAACACCACTTTCTATGGAGGAATGTTCGGCTACTATGTCTACCACAATCTGCTCTGGTTGTCCAACACCTTCCCACGCATCTTGCCGTGGATCGAATGGTTCGTCTTCGGCATGCAATACGGCTTCAAGCCGGGCAACTTCGTCATGTCCGCGGTGCAGCCCGCCCGCGAGGGCCTGCTCATGGACTGTCTCTATTCACAATTCGTGAACGAATGGGCCTTGCCGCTGGACAAGGGGCCTGAGGCGATCACGCGGCTCGCGGCGTGGATCAACCACGACGACGCCACCGCGCGCATCCCGGTCTCCAGCAAGGGAGTCTGGGTGCATTGCCCCGTCGAGGTGCGCGTCACGCACACGGGCCAGGAGTCGCCCAACCGTTCCGGGGTGCGCGCGTACCTCGACCCCACCGTCCCCGACGGACCGACGCTATACCTGAATGCCACGTTATACCGGCCCTACGGCCGCGACCCGCCCTGCCACGCCACGTACTACGAAGCCTTTGAGTATCTCATGAAAGAGCTCGGCGGGAAGCCGCACTGGGCCAAGAACTTCTCCGACACGGCCGGCGAGTACATCGACGCGGCATACGGCAGCGACATGCGCGCGTTCATGCAGGTCCGCGACGACAGCGACCCCGAGGGCATGTTCTTGGGGGAGTGGCACCAGAGGTATCTGCCCCTGAAGACGAAGACGGGTACGACGACAACAACAACAGCCCCAACTGGATCGCACGCCACGGCACATGCTGGATTGAGGCTGATGGAGTCAGAAGTCCGCCGGACGAAGAAGGGCCTCGGCTGGGGCTTTGGCGACGGCATCCTGTGGGAAGGGAGACAGCGAGCCGCCGCAGGTGATGGCGATGACGACGACGACGATGGCGACGCCGCTTACGGCCGCGCGGGCCAAGAACTGCGCGCGGCTCATCTGGGAGATGACCGGAAAGCCGGGGCCGGAGGACACGGGAATGGCGACGAGACGCCCAGTCCGCCAGCCACCACGACCAGCGAGGAGTCGTTCGATTACATGGCCAAAGGCGAGGCGAGCGTCTATGCCGTCAAGGAAGGGGAGGGGGAAGCAGGTGATTAGATGGGATAGGATGGGATGGGATGGGATTCGCCGAGACGGGACGGGAGATGCTGGATGCCGGTGATGATGATTGATGATGCCGGGATGAACAGCCATCCCACTTTGTCGTTGCGCAAAAGGGGATACCTTGGTGGTGGTGGTGGTGGTGGTGGCGCTGCTGGTAGTGCTGCTGGTGGTGCTGAGATGGAGCACCGGAGATCGAGGTAGTCAACTCGTGCGTGATTCTTTTGGTTTTTTTTAAAGGTCATTTCTACTGCTTCATCCCTCCAAAACACAGACATATCTATATCTATATATTGTACGAGGACCTGTCAGGGCTAAGAACGCACAGAGGCCTGTCCACTCACTGTCCACTTCGATTCCACCCAATGATTTATACCGCTTCTCCAAAGTCCCGTCCTTTTCATAATTGGATCGAATCTACCGCCAGCAAGGGCGAAGCGTTGACAACAGTACTTAGTACTCACATAGTACTTTCGTGGCTTCAAATCGAAAACCGGCCTGACTATCATAGGTCCACGCTGCCCTGAGGTGCAAGGCTATGGCCTCAAGCGAATTACACAGTCTGCTTCTTCTGTGTTTGTGTAGATTTCCAAATCAACACCAATTGCGCGGCGACGTCGTCCAAAAACTCGGTGCTGGCCCAGCCCATGACCCACGCCAACGCTCTAAAGAATTCCCTGGTCGTGGACCGGATCGTCGCGTGACAAACGCTCAGGACGTGCAAGTTGTAGAAGCGGGCGTTTTCCAGCGACGTGGTATAATGTAGCCAGAGCAGGAGGATGGGGCCTTCATGGGTGATGGAGAAGGCGAGAGGGTCCTTCTTGCCTTGGTCGGTTCCTGGCGAGCGACGTTCAGTGAGCTCGGCGAGCCGGCCCTGCATGACGAGCATGCAGCTTCCAGATCCAGCGGCCTGGTTCTCTGCCTCGTACATGCTCTTGCCAGTCGCGTACGACTTCCCTTCCACGACCATGGATGGAAAGCGTATATGGAGTGCGGGAAGGGTGGGGTTGGACAAAAGTTCCTGTTCGTACTGCAGATCCTTCAACATCTCCTCGGCGTCCAGCTTGTTGACGCCCAACGACACCAATTTCTTGGCGACGACCGCGCGGGGAAATCCTATCGTAATGTCCGGGCGAGCGTTCTTGACACAGTTATTGTCAAGCTTTGGCGGAGGTGGCGGCGGTGGCGGCATGGTTATCTCGGTGGCCCCTGGCGAAACGTAAGACGTCTCTGCCTGCTGCCGCTTGTTCGGGCGGTCATCGGAGAAGCCTATGTCGTTGAGAGACTTGTGCGGAGCACCAGAGCGGTAGGATTTTCGTTGAACCATAGGTTTCAGGGCAGGGTCCCACTCTAAGCTCAAGTTAGCAGAACGATAGTGCTGGTACGCAAAGTCTACAGTACCTGCTTTCCTTCGGAAGGCAAAAGCTTTGCCGAATAGCTGGCGATTCATTGCTTCCAGTGCCTGATATATCAATTCGGCGCAATCATCTTCTCCACTCGCGACTTCCAGGGCGTCAGGAAAGTCATTGCACAAGTCATCTGCGATCGCGAAAACGAGTTTCTCCCTTTCTTTATCGAGCTTAGGTTGGACGATGGCGTTGACTCTGTGCTCGAGGTGTTCTGAAATACATCGGTGCTGAAAGACTATTCTGGCACGGTCCAGTGAATTCAGGCGGTAATTGCAAAGCGCGAGAGATGTTTTCTGCGAGGACACGGACGCTGTATCCTGGTTCATCTCTGCCGTGCTCGATCGTCGCGAGACTGTTCCCTTTTTTTCTGCCATCCAGTCGCATGTCTCCGATGCTGTCTCGCTATTGAGCTTTTCCAGATTCTCCCAATTGAGAAGGTCCTTGGATGGAGGCAACTCCGCCACCGACTGTGAACCTTCCTGTCGTCGCTTGTCCGGTTTCTCGTCTTTAAATTCGCGTTTCCGTTTCCCTCGTGTGGGTTGCAAAGGCTCCAGTGGGCTTCCAGTCGCTGTCGAATCTGGTTGTATAGACCGGAGTGGAAGGGACTCGACGCTTGGGGCATTTGGTGAGGGTAGTAGAAGGTCGGGTGGTCCTTCTGGACAGAGAGGGATCGAAGATTAGTCCATCAGGTGTGCGCGCCGCTCATATCAGGGAGGTCTTGCTGGAGGCGGCGACCTTTCTGCTCCTCTTGACGCCTGCGGATTGTCTGGTTTCTTTAAATTGTTAGCAATGGTGGCTACCTGAGGAGGTCAACAGGAGATGGGGAGACGTACGTGTTGCAGATGTGTGCGCACCTCCAATTGTGCGCTTCGGAGGCATGTTGACTCGAGGAAGAAAAGTCGAGACATGGGACAGGGGAGAGGTTATATTGGCGCCTGTGCGAGTGTAAGAGCAACGGACAGCAGTTTGGGGATTTGAGAGGGCGCGAGGAAATGTTTCAGACACGGCAAAGCGTTTCGCGGGGTAATAATAATATCATAATAATTGACTTCGGTCGATTCGAGAAACCTAATCTGGTAACTTGGTAATAACCTTAATCATTCTTTGTGAAACTACAATCATCAGAAAGTAGTAATCAATAGATGAAGCACGGGTCAGGGCATATATAATGGTTCGTCATTCATTCTAAATTGACAGTAATTGCTTTGGCTCGCACGCACCACTGCTACCGTCGTCTCAGAAATCCACAACAGAGCCTCAACAAATTGCTGCCAGTGTAAATCCAACTTATATGGTTCATGTATGTTTATGAAGATCGCCACCGCTCTCCCTCTCTTTCGCAAACACTTCGTAGGGACCATCTCCGCTGCCCCACGGTACCTTACCCATTCTGCTATTGACAACTCACACCGTCTTGATCTCTTCTCGCGTGACACTCGCGCGTCTCTCCGCCTCCTCGTGTTCATGCATCTCGCGTCGCTGCTCGCTAATATCCCTGACAATGCCACGGTCCAATGTGTACAGCGGCTTCAGCTCGGCCGACTTCTGCCAGAAGATGTAGCGTTTGATGAACCACGGAAGCCAGGTACCGGTCTGGTATGACATGAACCTGCGGGTCGGGACTGCGAAGATGTAGTCTAGTTCTTCGAGTGTACGTTGCTGTGGGGGAAAAGTTACTGATGTTAGCCAGACGCACAGATGGACGGATTGGGGTGAACGGCGATGATGATGTATTACTGGAGCTTACCTTGGTTTCAGGAACCCAGAAGAAGATCATGATCAGGGCCAAGATGTTCAGGCCGGCAAAGAAGCCAAAGGCACCTGTCGGAGTGAATGCTGCGAGAATCTTGGGAAAGGTCAAGCCCAGTACTGCGGCCCAGAAGAGGCACGTCGCAACCGCCCAGCCCATGCCAACCTCGCGGTGAGACAGCGGGAAGACCTCGGCCGAGTACGTGAATGGTACCGGACCTTCACCCGGCGAGTAAAAGGCAGCGAAAAGGTACACAAACAGTGCAATGACACCCAAGTGGGCACTGCTCGATTTGGGAATGTAGAATGCAAACCCCCCGGCAAGGAGTGTCCAGGCCATGTTCGGGAACGTGAACAGCAACAAGGCACGTCGACCGAACGTGTCAATCGTGAGGAAAGCGGGAATGGCGAAGAGGAAATTGACGGCGCCGAAGCCAAAGGAACCCAGTAGCGCCTCGAAGTCGGACGCCCCACCCTCCCGGAAGATGGTCGACGAGTAAAAGGCCATGATGTTGATGCCACACATCTGTTGTGCGATCATGACTGTGAAGGAAGCAAGAGTGGCGCGACGGACACGAGGCATGGTAAACAGCTGCATAAATCGTGAGATATAGGTAGAATCGCCGACGATGTCGTGTTCGATATCGATCTGAGTACTGATATAGTACAAGTCCCTAGCGGCGAGGAGAGGATGGTTTCTGAGTTTGAGGAGAGATTGATACGCTTTGGCTATTTTGTCGTGCTTGATATACCATCTCGGGCTCTCACTGTTTTGAAGCAAAGCGTTAGATTGGTGTCATCAAGGTGCAGATTTCGGAGGCTTCAACTGCTGATAGGTTGCGAAAGAAACCCAACGAAAACAGTAACACAGCTGTAAGGCATAGACTTACGGGCAGAGAAAGACCAATATAGCCAGGGGAATGGCAGGTATAAAGGCGGAACCGAGCTGAAGACGCCAGCCAATGTCACCAGCTTTCCACACAGCCAGGTTGAAGGCAGTCCCTAGGAAAATCCCGAAAGCCGTCCAAAATTGCCATGTCATAACGAGGGCACTGCGATAAAATCGTCAGCCACGTGAGGTATGCGAGCATAAGGGATTCTCGTGACGGCGTCAATCTCGGGACGGGAATACTCACCCTCGAATTGCGGCAGGAGAGTTCTCGGCAGCGAACACAGGTGTAGTGGCGCCCTTCAAACCCATACCAATGCCCATGAGGACACGTGTAGCAAGCAACTGTTCCCACGTTTGGCAGAATGCTCCACCGATGGGCGTTGCAATCAGAAAGATGGCCGATGTGAAGATGGTACCTCGACGACCGAAGTAATAGTTACAGGGATCAGAGAGCCAGCAGCCCAGGAAAGCGCTGCCGATGTAGGGCGCCGAATTGACAAGTCCAATGATCCAGAAGTCTCTCTCGTAGCCCGGCTGTCCTTCTGGTGTATCCAGGCCAAAGGCTTCTGGGAACGACAAATTGGCACCGTTGGTTCCGGTCTGATCCCAGCCTTGGACTGCGGCACCGATGGAACAGACTATGACGGTCATGTATAGCTTCATTGGATGTTTCCATTTGCGTGAAACCTCTATGCGGAGGGCATCCTTCTCATCCTCGGTGAGGAATGAGAGACTCTCAAATTGGCCTGGGTTCTGGGCGACCAAGGCACCTTTCTTTATCAGCTCGACCTCGGAGGTCATGCCCGCACGGTTTGCAAATTCTTCAACCTGTAGACTACCGTGTCAGTTTGCGGCTGGTACAGATTATTGGGAGTTCCTCACATTGGCCAACAACTCTTCTTGGGGAATATCAGCAAGAGGGTTGGAGATCCTGTTGAATGTTTAGCTAAAAGACCCAAGAACCAAGGCGAGAGCGGCGTACTTTGCGTCCAAGTTCTTGTTCCTGTTCAAATCCGCGATGGACGAGCGCCGGCGCTCCGGACCTGAAGACTTCTCATGGTCCGTGCTGCGCCTGTTGTCGAAGCTGTCTGTAGCCTTGGTGTCCGACATGTTCATGAGTTACCGGCCAGCCAATGTGAAGGAAAGTAACTGAGAAATTCGACGGGACTAGAGATTTTCATAAAGGGGGGACACTGGGTCCCAGCTTTTTCATATACGTCGACCATCTATCATTCCGCAAAAACCCCGCGCGCTGATCAAGTTCGGAGAAACGCACAATGGAGTGCGGGTGACATCGTCTCAAAACATCACAGAGAGTTTTGCGTTTCAAGAACCCCGGAAGATGGCGTGCGATAGGCCCAGTTCAATCGACGTGATAGTGCTTCTGGAAGGCAGAATCTCTGGTGGAAGCCTTGTGGACCGCCCTCCCCACTTGTAACCAAAGCCCTTGGCAGCGGAGAAAACTCCACCTCATCAAGAACAAGAACTGCGGGCTGAATTTGGCAGATGTCATTTGGCATTGCCCAGAGGTGAGTCTCAATAACCTTACAGTGCTTGGTGCCCCAGACAGAAGCAAGCATATTCTTGGGTTCTGGGGTAGAGATATCGTTTAGAGAGCTGAGGGTGAGTGCCGCCTTTGGAAGCCAATATTGAATGGAAAATCCGCAGCTAGAGATGGTTTAGCACCAGAGAATCTCGAGTCGCTTGAAGGAGGAGATAAAGCAGTCCCTCTGAAAAGGCCTGGCAGTCACTGTCAAAGTTGGACCAACACTGAGCATGGGAGGTTGAACAGCGGTGGAGGAAAGGAAGTCGCCCAGGTGGGTAAGAATGTAACAGCGGGAACGCCTTGCCAAGATGCCGGGTGGATGCCAAGGGCGGAGATCATCTTGGTTTGCTCGGCGGAATCTGCACTGTGCATCCCACGGGTTATTGAACCGATGGCCCTCAGCCTGTGGAGACTGATCAGCCTTCTCTGCTCAAAGGACTACGTCACCCTTCCCCAGAGGGACAAGAACAAGACGTATCATCGTGCGAAAAATTGTCCTACATCTTCAACCCTCTTACCTCCTTTTGGCAGCCCTTGTGATCACCAACCCACACTGCCCACATTAGAATATCCCTGCACATCACTCCGGGTTTCATCAGCCTGTCCGCATTTCTTGGCCCCTCTGAGATCTCGAATTTCTGTCAAGGCAAAGCCGCCTCCATTGCCGATGACTTCCCTGCAAATAAGAGAGAGCCAGACATGGACGGGAGAGGTCAGACAAGATTACTTACCCCATATGCGACGACAGTAAAACATCCAGGATGACTCTCTATAGAGCCCCTTGGGGGAGTGCACCGTGGTAAGGCGATACCACAGTCAATCGTGAAGGTAATATTGGTTTGCTTGACGAATGACCTGGTCATATCCCCGTCCAACCGTCTGAGTCGTTGGCATTTGCCCAATGCTGCACCAAGGATGTCGGTCTTGGCTAATGCTGAGATACCATTGAACATGTCCAAGGTATAGCTTGGTTCAGGCGTCAACACTGGCCGTTTGACATCTGCAAAGACACCATCGTCCTAGAACCCAAACTCGACAAGCTTTAGTGCCGGATAGAACGGCCGACCTGAGGATCCAGCCACTCAATTGAAAAGTTTCGATGTAAGTAATCCGTTGGATCCACTTCTGTGACCCCTTGTTGAATGAAGGAATTTCGATTGGGTGGGTGAAGCCCGTGTAGATGGCAGGGCGTTTGTCCGCAGTGGTTGAGCTTCTGTTTTGATCTTTTTGCTAACTCTTAGCAGCGTCAGAGAGCTCGTTACCTTTAAGATTGAGGCGGTTTTTCTCCAACTGCCTATCGCTATCTTCCACCTTTCTTGGACTTTGATCTCGATCTTGTCGAAGACGAAACCATAGACCTTGATCCGTATTTCTGCTGGGACGGCGAGAAAAGGGGCACTGTCTCCAGATGGTTCCGCGGCTTGTGAAAGCGATATCACTGGCGTGATGATCGGAAGTCAAAGAATTTCCACGTGACACGGGCATGGGGACTCCGGCAATTTGAGCGCCAGGTGACAAGGATCCTGAAGAGTGTAATGGTACAGGAAAGAATGCAAGAGGCGGGAAACAATCGAAGGTAAAGACAAGAAGAACGAAGCCAGAGAGTGAGGAGATTCAAGGAGAAGAGGCGAGGCGTGATACAAACATGACGGTCACGGTCGGTGGCGCCATCACTCGGGCCTTTGAACTGTCATTGAGTGCGTTTGACGGGGACCGAAGAGAAACTTCAGTACCTGATGAGTGCATGAACAAGAGTTGGAGAGAACCAGCAAGAGATGATTTGAGAATGGCTGAGTATAAAATCAATTGTCATCCGTCAAGTCGCCACTCCAATCACCATTACCACCAACTAACTGCCAGGCGGAACTTCATCCCTGGATCAAGCGCATCAGAATCTGCATGAGGGGGTATCATTGAGACATAAGGGACAAAATTGTTCGTGATTTCATCGGCTAGTTCCGCATGACACCAAGATCCGAATGTTGCCCGATGGATCCTGTGTTTCACCTTGATGACCAGCCACTTCATCTAGACGCGACTGCGCCGGTACCAGCGTCGACGTGCGTATCTGACAAGCTTTGGTAAGCACACACTGATCCTTCTCAGATCTGGTGATCAACCTTACGGTCCTTGAGCGACGGGGGCAGCCGCGACGGTCTTGCGCCTCTCGCGATGGACAAACCAGAGGCCAACCAAGGCGCTCAGGATCCAGAAAATCGCAGACAAGAAAGAGAAGGCCTCGGCAGCTCGATAGCGACCACAGAACCCATGAAAACTGATTTGATTCCAGTCAAAGGTATCTCCGTCACAGCCGGTCCCATTGGCCCATTCGACGAGAAGCCCAAAAGAGGCAAACCAGGCAAAGGACAGGATGATATCCATGGGCCCTGTTTCAGCGAGTCAGCATATATTCCCTTGGCACTACATTGCCGTCTTTGAAACGTACAGTGGAAGAAGCCGCCGGCGAACGGGAGCAACCAGAGTAGACCGAGGAGGAGGGAGATTCCGGCCACAATCTCGATGTAGATAAAGCGCGCGAGGGGCCAACCGTTCCCGTGGCGGTAGTCATCTAGGTAGGAGCCGACGATGCCTGCAACGACCTGCGCACAAGATCAGAAACGCTAAAAAAAAGTGAGTTCGATCAGAGTTGCACTTACACCCGCGAAAGCGAGCTCACAGACACGCAGGCCCATAGATACAATTCTGGAGATGACAGGCATTTTGAAGATTGGTCGATTTGTGAGAGGCTTTTCTGAAGAGAGAATAGAAAGGACGTTGCAGACGAACGGGTGGTGTCGCCAGCGAAACGAACAAGGTCGATGGGAAGAACTTCAGCTGCCAATGATCCGAGCGGAGGGTGAAGCAGTGACTTAAGAATGAACAGCGAGGCCGTGACACTAGGGCGTTAACAAGGCGACACAGGGAATTCTCTGTTTGCCAGCCACCAACATCACCTTTCTGTCCTCACCTTGGTCTTCTGAATCCCTTGCTCAGGAGAGCCCTGGCCACGCTTTGCCTTGATTTTGTGCCACGCCAACCGGTGGTGTTGTCCTACCGGACCCTGGTTGGCCGTGAGAGATTGACAGGCAAGGGGCGCGTGACAAAGAAACGAGTTGCAGAAACATGGCACGACGTCATAGGGGGAATTTGGATAGGAAAACATGCTACCGAAACCAGGCAGAATGCTTGAGCCTCACCAATCCACCAACCCCATGCGGGGAGCAGACAAGTAGAGCAGGGAATGCTGTCAAAACGCTAACGACAACGATGGGAAAGGCTGAGAGTTTGGAGGCAGAAACTGGTAAGCGAGGAGCTGCAGACCGGAAATCAAGTCCATCACAAGGTGCCTATGACGTCAAGTTCAAAGTCAACAGAGAGGCCAAGGCGAGGCTGACATTCTCAGCCTCGCTCACTTGCCCGCCCAGCGGTTCTGCACAGCCATTGCGCACTATCCTCTTGATCACAGAAGTGTGGCCGTGTCCACGCGAGCTGCCGTATCCCGGTTGCTGATCCACCCGATCTGAATTCCAGGATCTCAATCGTGTGAGCAAAACAAATACTTGTCTCGATCCATGCGTGCCTTGTTCAATAGCCACATCTCCTACTTGTTCACGCCAATGCCCTGGCCTTCTCATTGACCTCGTCCCCAAAGTCAAAGGGCCCGCCGAAAAATTGGTGCCTAGCCGTGTTCAGAATGCAGGACTTGAACATCATTGTACGTCCCTGTGCGTCGACCCATTTTTGTCTAAAACCGCCCACTTCCATGCGTGGATACATATCATCGCTCATCAACTCTGGGCTCTCTTTCACTTCGTCCACACGCTGGAGAGCCAGAGATTGTGATATTTTCTCGGCGTCGGGAGGAAGGATGGGAAGAAGGTAGTCATTGTAGGTTCTTAGTCCAAAGTCGGTCACAAAGAAGAGAGTTGGGGGGGTTTTGACGCGATCAGGAAGGCCTTCAGGCGTGAGATGCATAGCTGGGTGAGAGAGAAGAGCCCGGAGCACAGCTGCATGTTTGCATGCGTTGTCGAAGCGTTCTTTGGGTGACGGAAGCGGACTCATGTCTCAGTATCTGTGGATGCTGAACTTGGTGAAGAATAAAAGAGTGTGGGGGTGACCACCGGGTCCAGTACTAGAGAGGCAAAAGGCACAGAGACGAGCAGAAGAGTGTCTGCGGCTGGCAAGGGACAATTCCCATGAATTTTGTCGGCAGCGATATCAGTGGCAAGAGTGGTGATTTAGCGGTGAGGAGAAGGTCTGTCACCCATCTGTAGCCCTCAGGCTCTCTAAGTCGCGCTTGCCACGCCGAGAGGACGCGTTCCTGCCGTTCCTGCATTGCCCTACTAAGCCTTTACCAACCCTTGACCAACCCCACTAGGACGCCGAGGAAGCCCACAGGATCAATATGCGACAACTCAGTTTGAGTAAAATCAGACAACCACTCTTGGTCTCTCTGAGTACGGGAGACCTACAGATATCCAAGTGGTTTATAACTTTCTGCTCAACGAGAAATGCTTACGTCCGTAAGTCACCTGCAAGGACAACACCAGGACCGAGGGCTCGCTTGTCCATCCCTGGAACTCCGCCCCCATAGCATGGCTACTCGTGCATGAGACCTCCAATACTCTCGTCGAATGAGGTGCCGGGTACTGCTAGACCACAATGACTTAGCTCTGTGCGCTCGAGTCGCCCGGCTCAAAAGCCGCTCTTGATTTATCTCGTTGTTTCCAAGGGAAGAGCATCGTCTCTACCGTCTAGTCGAACATGAGGATTCTTCAGCAGTCACAGTCGGATGTATATCCAAATCTGATTGATCGACTTCTGAAACACTTGACCCCAGACAATGGTGAACAGTGGACATCCCAGCAAAGCATGCGCCAACTGCCGGAAGAGGAAGATCAAGGTAAGAAAAGGCTTGATTCCAACTCCACCAACCCCGTCAAACAGTCAGATACGTGCATAACACTTTTGTCAGTGTGATCAAAGAAGACCGGCATGCACCCCATGCATCAGAGCTGACTGGCCTTGCCCTGGCTATCGTCCTGATATCGACATCTTTCTTCGCGATGAAACCAAGGTTGTCACCCACAAATATCAGGGGTGCCAATCCATCCATTCCTGCCCGTCTTTCTCAGATCGAAGCTCCAGGCAATGTTCTTCCCAATCGAACAACCGAAACCCAGACACGTTACCCTACCAGCTGGACATGGACGTCGTGACCCGAGCAGTGTCGTTCTTTTTCTCCCAGTATGTACATCAACCTCCAACACCTTGCGGGAAATTTCAACCTGGGTCATTCCAATATCTCCCGTCCCTGTACGCTCGGAGTCGACCAGATGGACCCCTGGTTCCGATCGTCCATGCGGCCGCGCTCGCCAGTTATGCCAATGCGGGCAACGTTCCCCACTGGACACTGGAAAGCTACCGATTGTGCGGGCTGGGCATCCTGAGATGTAGACATGCACTTGGAAATCTAGTCGAGAGAAAGTCAAATGAGGTTCTTGCCAGCATCATGCTGCTTGGCGTCTATGAGGTGAGTCGCCCCCAAAGTGTGGATGATTAGACCTAATCAGTACCCCGTGAACGACAGACTATTGTCCTCAAGGGGACACGAGCCATGAAGACATGGAGTCAGCATATGCTTGGCGCAGCGGCAGTGATTGATTTCCGTGGTCCGGGTCAGTTTCACGATAGATCTAGCGTTCAGATCTTCCTGCAGATTCGACGCCTCATAGTCCTCTCCGCCTATCAACTACAGCAACCAGTGCCCTTTTCCTTGAAGAAGTGGTCAGCCTGGCTAGAATACTCCAGTATTGGTGAAGATTACGAGGTTGTTTACCTCGCCAACCGGCTTTCGGAAATAGTTGAGAAGCTTGCATCTGTCCGGGCCTTTATTAAAGCACCCAAGACTCGAGGGACAGAGGACATCTCTTCTATGCTTTTGCCAATCGACTTGATGCTTCAAAGCTGGCGGAATCAGCTCCCTACGTCCTGGATACCCACACCTCGTCCTGCCTGCCGTTGTAAGGACTGTTTCTCGGGCAGTCATTTTGAAGGCATGCCTTTTGACGCCTATCCAAATCTATATGTCGCCTCACTTTGGAACAATTATCGTGGTGCACGCATCCTGGTTCACGAAATGCTATTATCCACCGCAACTCCCACTTCCATCACAGCCATAACGGACGACAAGGAATTATGCCCAACCATCAACCTATTGCGCCAGATGAGCACTGAAATTTGCCTCAGCGTCGACTACCATCTGAGACCAATTCCGGATGACTCGTTTCCTGATTCCATTGATCACTTGAAAGGAATAGTTACAGCCTCAATCCCTGGTGGCGAACTCCTCATCTGGCCGCTCTTCATGGCTGGAATGTTGCCTACGACAAGCCCAGCACGAAGGATGTGGATATCGGATCGCCTAAGGCAGATTGGGGCCAACCTAGGCATTGGACTGGCGCTTTCAATGAGCCAGGCTATGTACAACGAGCGGCACACAACCCCCTTTTCTCACAGCGAGCTGTGGGCGTATGATGATTGCCAGGCCGAAAGTGCCTGCCCTTGAACGAAGCTAATGTACAGGAATGGCCTCCCTTGAACCGTCTTGACTGATGAGGGTCTGTGTCGGATGCCTGACGCCGAAGTCCTCCTGAAAACCAATGGATCTAGCTTCCCACTTGGACCAATTTGAACCGACTGGTTGACCATCTTGAGATGCGTGCAGTTACAGAGTCTCCATCTGCAGCTGTTAATTGGCTACGCCGCAAAGCTAACCTGTCCTGGACTGGGCTTTCTCATTTGTCACCTTTGTTGTGTATAGCTATCGTTGTTGCTAACGACGAGTAAGTCGAGGTATTCAGTTGTGTCTTGCTGGACGCCAGTTGGTCTCAGGACGATGTGCTTCTCGAAATCCACTTGTCGAGTTTGATTCCGTTATCCGTCTCCAGAGAGGAAATCTCTGCTTCTTACAAATAGACGGCAGCCCTTTGACATCAACGAGTCGGCCAGCGAAAGGCCACTGATTGCTATTGCTCAGTTGAGAGACACAGGCAAGCTGACAACTCAGATTCAATTGAGTTTGTCGATAATATGCTTCTCTCAGTACTTTTGGCATCCATTGTTGCCTCCAGGGGTCTTGCCCAAGGCCTCAAGTTGCCTGTCGTCGACCTTGGTTATGGACTACATCAAGCAATAGGATACAATGTGGGCCAAGATACCTTGCACATCCGCAACACGAGACGACTGACCCATTGCAGGATACCTTGGATGTTTATAACTTCTCCAATATTCGATACGCTCGGCCTCCGACGGGTAGTCTTCGCTTCACGGCGCCCCAGCCTCCTTTAGTAAACAGAACTCTGCAGGATGGCAGCTCCGGAGGTACCTGTCCTCAAGCATACCCTGTTTGGTATCTCTGTGGACTGGCTCTGCTCGGTGTCTCCATCAACTCCACTGATGCCTGCGATGCTAGCCTCATTCCCAAACCCGACCCTACAGAACAAGAGGACTGCCTGTTCGTCGATGTCATAGTCCCGAGAAAGATATTCGCCAATGCCAGCAAAGAGCATACTAAAGGAGCGCCGGTGATGGTTTGGGTGTACGGAGGTGGTTTTACTTTCAGCAAAAAATACGAGGACGGAAATCCTGCTGGGCTCATCCAGAGAAGTCGGGAAGAAGATGTGAGTGGCAAAGGCGTTGTCTATGTCACATTCAATTACAGGGTACGCTTTCGTTCTCGTACGTTTGTTCAACGCATCTGATGCAGATTCCAGGGTGGTGCCTTTGGTTTTCTGTCGGGGCCCAACATTCAGTCCAATGGAACCGCCAATGCTGGCCTGCTTGATCAGCGCATGGCTCTCGAGTGGGTGCAACAGTACATCCACCTGTTCGGAGGCGACCCGAAGCAGGTTACTGTATTCGGACAATCAGCTGGAGCAGGTTCCATTATGCACCAGATCACAGCATATGGCGGTTTGAAAGGGTCAGCACCTTTCCAGAGGGCGATCCTACAGTCACCCGGGTTCGAGCCATTCCCCAGCCACTGGGAGCAGGACCATCTGCTGCAGAGGTATCTGGGGCTCCTCAACGTGTCGACGATTCAAGAAGCACGCGAACTCCCCTTTGCCACGCTCTCTGCCGCCAATGTAGAGCTCGTCGCCACCTCACCGTACGGAACGTTTACATTTGCCCCTGCGGTTGACGGAGACTTTGTGCCGGGCTTGCCAGGCAATTTGCTGGCGCAAGGGAACTACGACACATCGGTGCGGCTGATGACGGGCTTCAACGCGCACGAGACGCTGTACTTCACCGATCCAGCCAGTACCAACAACTCTATCTTCCTGTCCAGCATCACCAGCACGTTCCCAGGCATTCAGGCCTCGGTCGCAGACTACGTCTCCCAGACCCTCTACCCTCCTGTCTTCAACGGGAGCTATCCCTACAGCTCCTTCTACGAGCGCGCCGAGCTCACGCTGCAGGAAAGCGCCTTCACTTGCAATACCTTCTTCCTCCAAACGGCGGGAGCCCTCAGCAAAGTCAAGTCGTCGGGCTACGGCTACCGCTTCAGTGTCCCGCCCGCTTACCACGGTCAAGACGTCGCTTATACGTACTACAACCCCTCGACGGCCGGGCCGAGCGTGAACGCCACCATCGCCCTATACATGCAGCGGGTCTTGACTCGGTTCGCCCTGACTGGGAACCCAAATCGCGAGAACGATGCCGCGGGGGCCACTACCATGCCGGCATATTTCTCCCACCAGACGACATCGGAGGCGGGTCACATCCTCGACCTGAACGTGACAGGGTTGAACGTGATTGCCGATCCCAACGACAACGACCGCTGTCGCTGGTGGCAGAAATCGCTGTACTACTGAGTCCGAGCAAGCATCTCTTGGGTAGGTGCAGCAGAGGGAATGGGAGATGATATTGTGGGACTAGTTAAGCCTCTGCATGGAGTGCTCACATTCTACTCTGCGGCGGACTGACTGAGCGATTCAAAGATCGAGTGTTAGCTGCACACAAGGGAGCAGTGGTGGTGGTGGTGGTGGTGGTAGTGGCAGTGGTGGATTTCACTTTCTATAGCAGTTTGTCTGGCGACAAGGTATCACAAACCCCCTACACCACGACGTCTTCATCTAGAGGCCGAAACTGTTGCTCGTCGATTTTATTTTCTTTTTGTGTACGTCCCCGAGGCCCGGACACACTCTCATAGCACAGGCATGAAGCATAGTATATCAGGTAGTCAATCAGTCAGACTATACACCAATCATTCAGTTAATGTTTTGCATTATCAACTTCAAGCGGACGAACAAGGCTATAATGGTATCTCTGAGCTGCAAAAGCAGGTGAATACGAAAAAACAACTCGCCCTCCCACCACCGAAATTGCCCCATCATGATACACCTTACACCGTCGCTACCTCATCAATGCTTGCCCTCGGTGAACCACGCGGTGGCTCGGTCGACAATCGCCTTGCCGCCCGACTCGATAACGTCCCCGTGACAAGGGATGAATCGGTCGTAATCCCACTGCTTGATTCTCTTCGCCGACTCGGCAAAGCCCTTCCTGTCCTTGCCGGCGGCGGCGTACCAGAGAAAGCGCTTCTGCCAGGTCATCTCGCCCTTGGTGTTCATTATGCCTGCAAAGAGCTTCGTCAAGATTCCGGATCCCGCGGCAACTCCGGCCTTGGAATATTGTTCGGTGGCCGGCAGGTTGAAGAGCAGATCGGCCTCGATCATGGTCCTGCTGGGCTTGTGGAGAAAGACCAGCTCCTTGTTGGTGTGGGAGTCAAAGTATTCGTAGGAGAATTCGGTGTCGAATTCGGGAGTGATGTGCATGTCAAGCTTGTTCTTTGCGGAGAAAACATGTGCAAATTTTGTGCCTTTGGTGGCCGGATCGCCTTCTCTCTTCTCCGGCAGCCCCTCCATCCCGATCACTTCCGCTTCGGGGTATTCTTTGGCCCATGTAGAAATGAAGATGTGATGCTCGATGTCCGGCGCGACGATGTATTTGATAGGACCCATTGACGTGACTTTGGCCTTGACGTCCGGGGTGAGCGCAACGGGTGAAAAGACGGCCACATTGCCCGTCTGTAGCTTGACCAAAGTACCCCGGCCGCCAATCTTGATGTGCCCAAACCGCAGGAAAGGTACGCTGAGGGTCGTGATATTAGGAGTGACATCTCTTATGACCATGACCTTCGCAGGGTCACGCGGTATCAAGGAGGAGGCGGATTTGGCGGTAGACATTGTAAAGGTAGGAAGCGGTGTTGTGTTAGAGAGGTATTCGACCTGTTTGTGAGGTTATCGAACTGCAGGATCGCAATGCAGAGGAAGAAGTAGATCGAAGGTGCAGGGGAGGTCTCATGATATACTTTTCGCACAGAGAGGCTCGTATACCAGGTCTCGAGTTTTCCTTTCAGTGGTTTTTTCTCATCGTTGTGCCTTGCATTACCAAGTCATTATTCGGTTGACTTCTGCCCCGGTCCGCATGGTTCAAAGAATGCGAATAGCTAGAAAGCAGAACGTCATGCATTTGAGTGGACACCGCGCCACCACGGCCGTTGTTTTTTAAGCATAGACGATGCCAATTATGGAAGGGCTCCAGGGATGCCGCGGCCTGTGGTTTGCAGAAACTGTCATCAATCGGGTAGCGCCTATGGAGAAGCGAGACTTTCACCTGGTTACTCATCAAAATGGCATCCAGCCACCGCGCTCCGGGTGGTGAAGTGATTGTGAGCTCCAGTGAACCTTAGTCAGCCCTTCTTGTCAACCATCCCTCTCTTGTATAGTGCCCGGAGCCAAAGCCCAAATAATTAGAGGCCATGCATGTGTTGCTATTTGGAATGCTGCACTGGAGTGCGAGCCTGCCACCCTGCTCACCTAGCTGGCCGTCCGTGCTCGGCCGTAACATTAGGTATTTGGAAACCCACAAACGAGTATGCTGAGCCGAAATTACCGCAAGCGCATACGACTGTCTCTTCAGGTATCTTTCTCGGCGTTCGTGAGGTAGGTGACGGTGCGGACGAGCAGCCCGTGGTTCTGCGAGTTTTATGGATGTAGGCAATGGGAGGGTTGATAAAATACACGATGTTTATCTAGCGCTAGTATGGTACTAGTAGACACCTGAGATAGGTACTTAGGGCAGGCACCCGAGGTAGGTAGGGCAGGTACCTGAGGTAGGTAGTAGTAGGCATCTAAGGATCGGCACCGTTAGGAGGACTTGGTGGATAATGAGCATACTCATGAGCGAACTAGAAGGGTTAACGAGTAGCTATTTTGATAGAATAACGCTGATAACCTTGCTCCTTAGCTCATCTGGCAACTTTGGAAAGATTGAGGAACGAGACTGAAATAAACGGGCCTGGAATGCTGCAGGTATTCTATGAAATCTATTTGCACAACCCGGTTAGGCATGCGTTTCATTCGAATGCCATTGCAAGCTGGATTTTGCCACCGTTAATAATTATTATTATGCGCCAGTCGCTGTCCGTAATCGGTGCAATAGCAGGGAGACTTTAAATCCACTAGATAAACACGGGAAGACTTGAAATTTGAATGGAAGTGTTTTGATTCCCCATGCAGGGTGTCTGGCATTTTTATTTCCTCAATCAATCGTTTGAATGCTCTTCATGCCTGTCATCTACAAAAACCTGTTCAAGGCCAATTTCAAGCTGTCTTCCAAGAGCCCACTACCTCCACAGACATTGCTTGTCCCTTTGGCGAACTTGCGCCTTATCTCGTCATTCCGCATATCATTTTCTTCATCATTCACAGCTCGACTATCGAGCAGCACATACGCAGGTTCGTGATCCGATCCTCCAATGTGCTCGGCATTGTCGCTGGTATCGGGAATGTTTGCAGACAGAGAATGAACCAGCTTCTTTGTCTCCCTCCTCGGACTCTGAAGGCCACTAGGAGTAATAAGCAGGAGCTCTGGGTCATCCCCCGAGGATGGATTCAACGGTGTCCATGTCTTCCTTGTATCGGAAGAGGCCAATGCAGCGTCCAGCGCTTGGCTATTGAGGACCATTCCAGGCGAGCGCAAGAACAGTGCTTGATCGTACTCCCATCGACCCCACTGCAATTCCCCAAGTAGTTGTGATCGAACGTCCCATGCGTCGTATATCCTTACAGGGTGATAGATGAGGCTGTACAGTTCCTGAACGTCGCGCATGAAGCTCAAAGTTGATGTATAGAGGGGTGAGGATTCGGTCTCCCAGGTGGATGGGTAGAGAAGTATGATGGATGGTTCTTTGGACAGCCGTGAAGATGACCGTTCCTGTTTCGCAAAAAGGAGTGCCGAGCACAAGTGGTGTGGCTCGAGGAGGGCAAACATGTAGGCAAGACGCTGGAGTGGTGTTTCGTCTCTTGAAGCCGACTTGAACAGCTCCGGAGAGGAATCCAACGTTGCCTCATTCGGGTCCTGGTTGATTACCGGCACCTGAACCGTGTCCGAGTTCTGATCAGCCCCGACGATAACGACAGATTGCAAGCCATCTTCAGGGTTTTCCAACACTCTCGGAACGCTATCGTTTTCTTCATGTCGAAACTGTGGAGGCAGAGTTGGCACAGGTCTTCGTTCGGGTGGTCGTCGAATGGCTTCTTGTATGGAGCGCACAGATTGTTGTTGTAATACATATCCCGAGAGAAACAACAAGAATGTGAACGTGCAGACAACCCCGCTAGAGATGATGACCGAGACGGTCGAGGATGTTAGGAGGACCATTGCCCTGCAGGGCTCCAATTGACCCAAGAAACAAGTGTGTTCATGCAGCTGATTGGAACCGTGATGGTGGTACGAAGACGATTCTTGGTCGGGCCCTAACTTAATATATGCTTGTGAGTACTGGCTTTGACCTCTTCTTCTGAGATGGCTTCGGATGAGTCCGGTCATAAGTAAGAGAGTCATCGTCCAGCCGGTTACGCAGGCAATGTTTACAGCCTCGTCGCGAGGAGCAACTGATTTCTTGGCAAACCAATGGTGGAGCTCAACGGGCTGACAGTGGCGACGCCGCTTTTAGGTTCAGTCAACTTGCTTGCGGCTCTGCGCATTGTGAGCCACACTCACTCACTTCTCCCGCAACTGTTCAATTGTGCTCCTCGACCCTCGCGTTTACCTTCGCAGTTACATCGCTGGTTCCATGTGCTCAGCTTGCTCGCGTACATCGTCAAGGCCTCCCTTCCTCTAGTTAGGGCCCCCAGGTCTAAAGTTGTCGATCGGCAGATCTGGGCCGTTCCGCACTCTCCCCTTGTCGATTGAATGTCTAGTTTCTCCCCAGCCCGTCCTTCACTGGAAACAAAAGTACGAGGTACAAGCACTGCGGTCAACCTTGCAGGCACTTGCCTACCACAAGAAGATGGCAATGGTACAGCCGCACCTGCATGCAGCGTTTCCCGGGCTCCTATGACATGCTGCTGTGTGGGTGACATGAATGCGCCCTGCCTCAGAAATATCCCTGCAAATAGACCCTGGTATGCCCAACATACGAACGGCACACTGAAGCGAGCAGGGTTCAGACCAGGGCTGTGTGTACATGCCTAGACTGCTGAGGCTTTACGTCCATCTCGCTACGACTAGTGTGTCTGCATGTCTGGGTCGACTGCCCTTCCGGTCGCCTTTTCCTGAGCAATGAGAGGTCAGCCTCATTCAGAGGACGGCTGGACTCGGCCGTGGCTGCAACTAGCCGACCACAATGCATGGCACTATTGGTTGAAAATGTAATGGTATCCTTCAGCCCGTATTCAGAGTGAGGCTGAAGCCTGACTTTGTAATAGCCCCCCTCCCTCCCTCCCTTCCCCTCGCCTAGTGAACAAGGTATATCTTTCTGTATCCCTCATTCTCAGAGACCTTCCTCCTCTCCAGCAAGTCCTTGAGGTCAAGCCTGGAAACTAGACTCGACTCTTCATTCCGTTGACCATGGCTAACGGTGATGCTTGTGCCGACTGTGAGCGGCCTAATGTCCGTGTCTGGCTCTGTTCAGCCTGCTCGGGCATCTCGTTCTGTGACGACTGCTGGCCAAAACAGGCTGCCCACAAGGCTAAGACCACGAATCTCGGTAACCGCGCGCATATGAAAGAAGATAGGGCCACGATATTGATGATACGCTCAATTCTGGAACCACCAATGGATCCTCAAGAGATTAGGACCCTACACGACAAAGATCAGGACTCGAGATGGTTCGGCGTCGTCAAATCATCGGACGGTAGAAAATCAGAGTTTTATGACTTTGGCCGATACGGTCAAATGATGCTGGACAGTCGGCCACTCGGCGGGGCGGCCAGATACCCCAAACTTGTCTCCTTCATCGGGGACACCTGTAGGTCATCTCAAGATACGCTATCGAGAGCTCTCTGACGTTGGCAAGACGCTGGCAAAAGCACAATTGTTAAAGCCCTGGTATCTCATGGCGGCTTGGTATCTACAGAAGCCGACCGCACTTCCTTCCACACCCCAGTGCCGGGCTCCAGAGCCAACGAAGGGACTGCCACGTCAGAAGGCGTGCACTTGTACGCAGATCCGGAGCATCTAGAGGTCGCGATGCCTATCCTCTACGCTGACTGTGAGGGCCTAAACGCGGGTGAAAAGGTACCTTTCGCTGTGGAAGACTCCTCACATTCCAAAAGGGCAACAAAAGAATCAGGAGGGCCAAGGAAAGTGAGAAAGAAAATGCCTGCGAGGTCTGTCCCCATTGAATGGACAAAGGCAAACGATCCAGTCAAGGGCACTCGAGAATATGCTGTCACCAATCTTTACCCCAGGTTTCTCTATACCTTTTCTGATGCTATTGTTTTCGTCCAGAGAAATCCAAAGTAAGTATGTTCTGCGCCGAGGGGACTGCCTACTGACGGGCGGCAAGCCAACTTCACATCACTTACAAGTACCTTGTCGACTGGGCAAAGCGCAGCGTCGAAAAATCCCTGAATCAACCTATCCTACCCAGTGCGATAGTCGTGCTTAACGCTGTTGAGGTTGCTGGTAAGGACGAGAGATGGACGATCGAGGACGCGACGAAGAGCTTCTTCCGAGATGTTGAAGGCATCACGACCACCGAACATGATCTGAGAGAGCTCGCGAGGAACTTCGCTCCCGAAGGGGATTACCGCAGCCTGTCTGCACGCGAGTTGCTTGAATGCTACTATCGATCTGTTCGCGTGATTCGCATTCCCGCGAAGAGCTCCGAGACGTACAACTTGATCAACAACCAGATCTTGCAGCTCCGAGAGGAAATCGTCAGCGTCTGTCAGACCGCTCACTACGAGAAAAGCATCAAACGCCGGCTAGCCAACGCCGATGACTTGCAGCAATACCTACAGGCGGGTTTCGAGCACTTTGCCAATGACATTGAACGACCATTTGACTTCAGAATGGTTTCTACTCGTAATAAACTCATTGCCCACGACTTCGGCGATCACATTTTGACGTTGGCAAGAACGATACACGAGAGTACTCGTCACGAGCTTCTCCAACCGAAAATGCTCCTCGGTGGCTTATGTTCGCTGATAGCATCGTGCATCCTGTTGGACTACGTCCGGAATAACTTGCAGGGTAAGTAAGTGCTGCTGTTCGGCGTGGTAAAATGTCTCAATAACAGCTTCGCAGGGCCTGTGCTTGATTACTTCCCGAAAGACTACGCTCCTTTCTGCCGGACAGCCTTACATATGTTTTGCAACGATATAATGCCTTGTGAATATACAAGTAAGAGAATTCCGCACTGCTGCAATGTCAAGTCCGCCCACGACAAGGGCCACCAGAACGAGAAGGGTAAGAGAGAAATTGGACCATATAAATCTTCTCTTATGGCTTCTTCATACGAAAAGGTCTGGCTGAAGAAGATCGAAGACAATCTGAAGGCGTTGAACAGCACCTTTATACAAGAGCTTCGTTCCAGGTATCCGCTACACAAGCAATCGCGAACAGATTTGTCTGGCAACCATGAAGGTCATATCTCGACAGACATGAAATTGGTGTCCAAATTACATGATGAGAAGCTCGCCGAGTTCTTCTCGTCTCAGATCAAGTCTTCCCGGGACTTCATCAGTTGTGTGAGCTGCTTTCGATGTCTGATGGCTACGCCTGAACATGCGTTGGAGTGTGGCCACATCCTCTGTGACTCTTGCATTCGAGAACACGGAGAGGAACAAGATGATCTTATCACTCTAGTCGGAAGCTGTCCTCTACATGGCGGAAAGAGATCCATGAACTGGGAAATCGCCAAAAAGCCCGAGTTCGCTGGCCTGAGGATTCTGTGCTTGGACGGGTAAGTGAACTTCCCGAGACTCTTGTCAGAGGCTGATATTGGGGACCAAGGGGTGGAATCCGTGGCATCGTGGAACTTGAGATTCTGGCTGCTATTGAGAATTGTATCAACAACTACCACTCAACGCCAGGGATTCAAATTCAGCAACTGTTCGATCTGATTGTGGGGACGAGGTGAGTGAGCCGGCGCCCATCCAGGTACGATTTCTGACGCGCCTAGCACCGGTGGTATTGTCGCTCTCGGCCTCGTCGCCGCCCAATGGTCTGTTTCTGAATGCACGCGCAGATTCAGGTCTCTTTGCAAAACAGCATTCTCCGAGCGGGAATTCGCAGACACGATCTTTGAGAAGCTGGCGACCTTGAACCACGGAAGCAAATACAGGACAACCCCATTGCACAGAGTTTTGCAAGAGTCCTTCGGTGACGACCTTCTCTTCGGGGGCAAGAGTAATGCCGCGAGATACTCCACGAAGGTGGCTGTGGTGTCTACGTCGGGCACCGGGAACCGAGCCTTGATCATGGCCAACTACAACCGACAGCAAACTTCTGATCCTGGATACACTTTGGAGACGGCTCGGACCCCGAGTGAAGCGTTTCATGTCTGGGAAGCTGCCGCGGCTACCTCAGCAGCTCCGTCCTACTTCAAACCTTTTGTGAGGCGAGGAAGGACATACCTTGATGGGGCCATCAATCACAACAACCCCGTGATTGTCGCAAAAAGAGAGCGACGGTTGCTATGGCCAGATGTCGAATCGCGCCACCCGGATATCTTTCTCTCCCTTGGTACGGGTCAAAATGCTGCTGAGATGAGCAGAAGACTAGAAAAGTTGTCTGGCCATTCGAGAGAGGACCACTTGAGAAGAAAGCAGCAGACTGAAGGACCGCGAGATTCTCGAAAGCGCTATCGGGCCATGAAAGGCATCAAAAACTACTTCAGCGTTCTTGTAAGTGGCATTTCACCATTCTTCCTCGGCGATGAATACCTCTTCTGACCTTGATTCTCTAGGTTGATAAGATCGACAATATCCTCGACACCGAATGGTCCTGGCACGAGTTCTACCGCGACACGGTGGGCGAGCAGTGGGCAACAGAATTCGCGTCCCATTATTTCCGCATCAACCCTGACCTCAGACAAAAGCCACCGCCGCTAGATGCAAAGCATGACGTGGATCACCTTCGAGGGATGGTAAACAAGCTGCTCAGACAGCCTCCGTTGTCCCGCGAGGTTATAGAAATTGCAAACTCTCTCGTTGCCAGCACCTTTTACTTCAAGAAGGACGAGTCTCATGTCTTTGGCGACAAGCAAAATCGCGCTTTTGTTTGCACAGGTGAGTGTCAATGAGGCGGGAAAGGATGTAGCTAACAAGTTCGAAAGGTCATATTCGCTGCAAACTCGCTCACCAGGACCAGAGCATCAAAACTCTGGCTGAATTTCTGCAAAACCACATCATCGGGGACTTTGTTCCCAGCTTTATTGCGAAGAGGCGTTTAACATCGTCGGAAGAATTCACGGTACGCAGTTGCTTTCTCCGGCTTGGAGGGTGGTATATCTTCTGCAATCACGGGAAGCTGATAATGTGCAGATCTTCGACCTCGACAAAAAGTTCCTTGACGACATGTACACTCGCAAAGTGTTCAAAGGGACGTACCATGCGGAGATCGAGCTCCGAGACCGTGAAGAATCGGTATACATCCTTCTCCGGCTGAGACAACCCAACTCGAAGCCAAACAAAGTCCACACATGTGATTATCCGATCAGCGGCTTCCCTCGCAAGTTCATTGTGGAGAATGAGAGAAATGGTAAGCAATCCCCTAGCAATCTTTGATCTCGATGCCGGGTTGGACTGACAGACCTCTAGCGTCGAGACTGCAGAAGCGAGTGCAGGAGCTGGCAAGACGTCGTGAAGCTGCGAGCGAGGCGGCCGCTTCTTTGCCACTGTCACCAACCATTCAACCCGTTGCCTCGAGATCATCATACAACATTACTCGCGTGTCGACTACAGAGAGCCTGACGGATTCGGATACAGAGCAGGACGACGGACTCTTGTCAGAGCAAGTGTTGAAAGAGTATGAGGCGTGGTCTATACGAGACTGATTTGTCTGCTTGGTGGGGATTTTGGGTAACGAGATAATTGAAAAATGCGTAATTGACGGCAGGTCACAGGGCAATGTAGACAACCTTAATTCTCAACGAGACCTATTGGCTTCTCCGTATGTCTTGTCTCTATCTATACCTGAGAGCGCGTCCTCCTCCAGACAGCCAGAGTCGTGCAGAGTGCATTGCTGAGGGGCACAGGGCGGCATCACGCTAATCCAAAAGCGGATTACTGGCCCGGTGACGTTGATGCGGCTTTGCAAATCCAAGAACATTTTTTTGGCTGTATCTACTTGTAGCCACACGACTCTCCACGAGGTCTGGTTGTCTGGCAAGCGATAGAATCTTCTCTCACTCCTAGACGCTACCATGACGCACCGTGCCGATGCCTCCAACACGCTCGATAACCGCGGCTACAGCGGTCCTCTGGTGCGCGGCCAGAATCCTGCCCTCCTCTTAGAAACGGCCATGCGCGACCGCATCACCGATTCACTCTACTGGAAAGAACAGTGTTTCGGACTCAATGCCGCGACTCTGTGCGACCGAGCCGTCGAACTCTCCTACATCGGCGGCACCTATGGGGTAGCCATGAAACCTACGCCTTTCATCTGCCTCGCATTCAAACTCCTGACCCTCGTGCCCGACCGGGAGATCGTGCTCGAATATCTCCAAAACGGAGGCGAGGAGTGGAAGTACCTGAGGGCGCTGGCGGCGTTCTACGTCCGGTTGACCTTTGAGCCGGCCGACGTGTACAAAACCCTCGAGCCGTATCTGGAGGACTCGAGAAAACTGAGGCAGCGGAGGAAGGAGTCTTATGTGTTGATCCACATGGACGAGTTTGTGGACAATCTGCTCACAAAGGACCGAGTCTGCGGGACGAGTCTGTGGAAGTTGCCGGCCAGGCAGTTGTTGGAGGATCTGGAGCAGTTGGACGAGAGGGTGAGTCCGCTGCAGGCGGAGCTGGATGCCATGGAGGAAGAAGAAGAGGAGGAGGAGAATGGCGAGAAACGAGATGGGGACAGCGACATGGAACGTCATGCGGGGAATGGGACAGCGTCCGAGAATGGGCAGAGTCCCAGGTCAAGAAGCAGGAGTCGAAGCAGGAGCAGCAGTCGGGGTCGTTCGATCAGTGATTGAAGAAACAAGTACACACTACACGGGTTACACGGGCAATCATGCCTGAGATTGCTGACTAGAGTCTCAAACGACGACATACTCGTCCTCGCCCGCGGATGGCGATTCGATGCCCTCTGTTCTCGGGTCGGACACCTCGCCCTCGTTGTCACCGACGGCCTGTCCTGCATCTTCCGTCCCGAATGGCGCAATCCGCGACGCCTGGGATCTGATGAGATCGATCAGAGAGGTGCTGTCATCATGGCGTTCCCATGTTGGATGTCTGACTTGTCTCTCAGGCGCCTCTGATTCCCTCGAAAACGGTTTCTCTTGGATCGGGGCATGACCCGCATCCTGACCGTCATCCTCGTCGATGCGCATTTCGACCAAATCCTCCTCTGGTTGGGCAAGCGGTTGAGTTTCGCCATGAGCAGTGACCTCACGAGCTGCATCTTCGTGCTCCTCAACTGCTTCATCATCCCACTGCGGTGCCTCAGCCGGTTCCGGGTTGCTTTCCGTCGCCAAGTTGGCAGCATCTGAGCCGACAGATTTATCGTCCTCGGCGTCACTTCCGCTTTCGAAGGATTGCTCGGATGCGTTGTCGTCATGCCCAGGCGAGTTACCCTGCGGTTCCCAGATCTCCTTGCCCTCTTCACGACTCACGAGCTGCTGTTCCCTCCATATCTCCCGCCTCACATACCTCTTCCATTCAGGAGCATCACATGGAGCGTCGAGTAGTTGGGGCATGCTCGGGCCGCCGATGTTTGTATTTACAACATTGAGCAATGTTATGGAGAAGCCGTCGCATTGCATGTCTTTCTGGCTAGAAGGAGCATCAGATGCCGTTTGTGTCCTGGGTGTCAACGGGCTGGCATAGCCGTACACACGTACGGGCCAAATGTTCCACTGATGTTGCAGCTCCTGGACAGTTGCATCAATTACATCTCTGACCCGGTCCGTGTCTTTCGGCAGGGGAGGTTGGTCGAAATTGACGAGCAAAACGGGCTCATTGGAGTTTACGTACACGTTTCGTGAACGCGAGCCGGTAGGGTCCAGGAGCGCTTTGAGGATCGAGGCGACGGTCTTTTGGGGGATGTCTCTTGCTCTACCTTCGCTGTCACTGTCTTCGTCGACATTAGTCCCCGACTCTATCTCGACGTGCGATGAGTTGCAGGTGATCAAGTTTTTAGCCACCAGGTCACCGACGCCACGTATATCGTCGTCGCCATAGCCACCCCATTTTGACAGGGCGTCGCATATCTTGGCCACGAGGAGGATCCCCGCACCGGTGGTCTTTGACGTGTTTTTGTAGTTAGGCGCCGAATCTTCTTCGCTCGAGAAAATCACATCGTCAACCGTGACCCCGATGGATCCCGGTAGGTCGAGCATGCTTCCTTGAGCTTGAGCTTGCGCGATGGGGATGGCCATTGTCTTGTCACCTAAGTGCGCTTTATCGCTTGGGGGGAAAGGGGTGGATGGGTGACCCTGCCTGGTCTGTGGTATGATAGTATAAAGTCGAAGTGGGTGCGTTTGCTTGTCGCTGCTGGTCAAAATATGACTGGAATAGCGAGAATTGAGAGAGGGTCTAAACCGGCCGAGACTGGAATTGTAGCAAGCGGCAGGAGCAACAGCAAAGGTCTTGATTTATACCTCTGTGTATATGTGTATATGTGTGGTGTGTGTCGGAGAACGTAGCGATCGAGAAGAAGAAGAACAGGACGACAAGATAAGACTTAAGACCAATATCTCTCCTCCTGTACCGAGTTACTTGTGCTCTACTTGCTGCGATGTACTGTACGTTGTCCACCCGCAAAGGAAATATTATCACATGCTCAATTCTCCTCTCGCTGTAATATCGACGGCACCCAATCAATTGGGAGGAAAATCGCTGACGTTTTTCGATCGTCGCTTTTTTGTCACTTCCGTCCTTGGGAACATAGGCTCTGATCTGATCTGATCTGCAAGGCAAGATGTTCGGGCCTTGATTCCAGGCGGTAGTGACGGGTAGGCAATGATGGCACTGCGAAGGAGATGTTTGGCGATAGGGTCCGGAGGGGAGAGCCGTCCGTCTGTCTGTCCGTCCACATCGCTGCGGATTTCGAAATTCGTTATGTATTATGTGTATGTTTCAATTTAGGGACTTGTAGCTTTCCATCGCTTGTTCCTCTGCGGATCGAGTATGTACTCATGATCAAGGCGTACACAGAAAGAAGTAGGAAGAGAACCTCTGTTCGCATCGCAATGGCGGATTATATATATATACATGTATGTCTTTGGCTAGGCTATGCTATGCTATGCTATGCTATGCTACCAGCTGGAGCGAGAGAAATTGAGGAAAAATGATCGGTGATGAATGCCCAAAAAAAACCCTCCCTTGCATAAGTCTCTGTCATTCCATAGATTGACGAGTTAGTTCCAGCTTAACTTTTTTTTTTATATATGTTTTGTTTTGTATCTTCTTTGGTGGAGGTGGAGCGGCGTCGTGAAATGGTAGAATATACCCAGTAAGCCAGTCAAGTAAGTACCCTTCAGATTGGATCACGGTGGGGGAATGGTAACTAGGCTCTTTGGGGGGTTGTGCATTCCTGGCTGGCATTCCTTCTGGCCATTGGTATATATCTCTTCTTCATCCTTCTCTCTCCTCTTTCCTCTCCTTTTGTCATTTTGCTGGTGGTGGTGGTGGTGGTGGTGGTGAGTACTCTTTTCTAATCTCCATAAACAACGCGCACCTCTCCCTTTATACATAGTTTTTCACTCGAAAAACCGACCCCCCCGCGGTTTGCAGCGGCCGTGCCTGTCTTGTTGTCTGTCTGTCCGTCTGCCTAGTTCGACACCTCGACATCCCCAAACCCCTGCTGTCTGACCCACTTGTCCTTCCAGCCGGGAAACCACGGACTCTCGTCCAACGTGTGGTGCTGCCAGTCCTTCTCCACGAGACCCCGCTGGATCTGCTCGCGCTCGTACTCCTCCAGCGCGGGCACCACGACGTGCTCGACGTGCCACGTGTTCTTGTACTTCATCAGGTTCTCCTTGCCGTCCCGCAAAACCTTGAGCACCAGGCTGGGGATGTACGGCTCGTCGCGGAACTCGGTCACCGGAGTAAACAGCGCTTTGAAGTTGAACACGATCCCGCCCGACAGGGGCAGGCGGCGCAGCGTCTGCCAGTCGACCCGCAGGTGGATCCGCGACAGGTCCAGGTCGGGAGACTGGAAGTCGCGGTACTTTTCGTGCGGGTCGCCGGGCGGCATGTACAGCGGCTGGTCGACTTCGAGGCCCCACGAGCCGCGCTGGATGGGTCTGGGTGAGGGCATCTTGGTGAAGAATCTAATGGGGACAGGGGTTAGATGTCGCACTTTTGGTAGCTCATTGTAGTGACCAGGAGGGAGGACGCCTTACCGATCCATGCTGAATTGCATCTTCTCCTTGTAGTCCGGGATCGGGGCGTGGATCTGGGCCAACTGCATCCCGATCTTGGTCCCGACGTTCCAGCCCAGCGCCGAGCAGATCATCCCCGCCCGGAAGTGGTAATACCCGGTCTCCGGGTTTCGCAGCGTGATGGCAAAGTCTTCGGGGACGTTGTCCAACAGGACCAGCAGAGGGTGCTTGGCCGACACGTCCTGCGTCGTGCCCAGGATCTTGTTCTCGAATGTCTTCTTGTCAGAGTGCAGGCGGAAGTACTGCGGGTAGCGAGCGCAGAGGAACTGGAGCGCCATCTCCATGAGTTCTTTGCACGCCAGTTCCGACCCAGGCAGCCACTGGAGCACAGCCTCGCCGTGTTCGGCGTAGAGCTTCTTGCGCTGGGCGATGCGTGCCACGTACGTGTTTTCCAGTTCTAGCCACCAGTCGGGCTCTAGCTTGGTGAGGGCTGTGTAGCGGGCTGTTAGCTAGAAGTACAACCACAAAGGACAAAGGTACTGACACATGGTTTGATGATATGCCCATCTGAAGGGTCGGTAGGGTCGTGGGAGGGCTTTGTTGATGTCGTGTTCACGGTATGGCTTTGGAAGCGGGACGCCACTGAGGGCAGCATAGTCGGGGAAATCTCCCAGAGCTCGAATCTCTTCAATCTTGTAGCCAGTGAAGACGTACTTGTCTGCATCGGCCTTGCGAAAATCCTCGTCGAATCCCAGAACGGCTTTCATCCAGTTCTTCTCGTCGAATGTCGAGTTGAGCAGGGCCACGCGGCGGTCTTCGGGGAGCGAGGCAGCGGCTGCCGGAATGTTCTCTCTGGTCAGGGGCGGGAATGTGTTGACATACTCGGAAGCCTTTGGTGGTGAGTTGTTGGGCACCTTCTTCTCCGGCGAGAGGGAACGAGGCGGCGTGTCTGCACTGGAGATACGACGACCCCGTAACCTCAGCCTTCTGAAGACGACTTCTTTCTGACGTTGACTCAGACTCAGATAGGTAATGACACCGAGGCACACAGCGAGGCCCAGGTAGAGCAGGGTTCGCTCGTCCTTGAATGACGCCATGGCTAATGAGCTGGTAAAGGGAAATGCAAGGCCGAACGGAGGGGTGAAATATATGTACAACCGGGCCGAGTCAAAAGATCGAGCCTTGACAGACAAAGGCTGGGTGTGAAATAGGCTCAAAGTCTCGGAGAGGGTGTGCAAGTCACAATCACCAACAATAGCCCAAGTGGCATAGGTCACGGGAAGCGCACAGAAGGCCAAGTGCCGCTTGTCGACAATCAATGCCAGGAACAGTGAAATGGCGCTGGTATAAATATCGACCGCGAATCTCGAGGATCTCCCGAACAGGACAAAATGCCAGCGAAACCAAAGATAATGGGTCAAGTCACACCACCGAGGCTAAGCAACGCTCAGGAGAGCGGTAAGACACGACCCAACCGTAGAACAAAGGCGTAGAAAGGTCAGGCCAAAAGGTACGAAAGATTGAGCTTGCAGCAAAGGATGTGAAATGGGAGGGGAATCAGAAATGGGGATTTGATGATGTTGTCTGCTGCAGGGAGAAGTGAGCTCAAAAGGGTGTAGAGCAAGCAGGGATCGCGACGGGCAGTGGCC